ACTTTGAAACTAATGCGACACAAATCATTAACTAAAAAGAAAAAGTAGCAGTGGTAACAATAATCGAGAAAAATGTTCACAGTGAAAACCAGCTGTTCGACAACTGAAATCCGCGAGGCATGCAAAGTACATACGTGCAGTATGTAGGGCTAGAGAAAGTGTCACCAGCTCGAGTGGTAACGTGTTCCTGTTCGAATCGGTCCGCTTTCAAAGATCGCGATTAGAAAAGAGAAGAGGGAGAGAGAGAGGGAGGTCTGGTGTTCTCTTCTCTCGAAACGTCCATTCCAATTTTTCCGCGCGACTCGCTCGTCGCATGTCAACGAGCCGCGTCGCTCTTTATCCGCGAACGCCATGAAATGTGTATCGCCTTTTTTTCCCGGCTCTTTCTGGAAAGCATCTGCGTACGTGGCCGGCGTGTCGAGCGGCGTGAAAGCGGCTCGAAAAATTTCAGGTCGACGCGTGTCATCGTCGATAACCCGGCTTCCAATCGATTCCCTCTCTCTTTTTTCTTTCGCGGAAGATGCGCGGATACGGTTCTCCTTTCTTAACAGGGCCAGAGATTTTCAAAAGATCGATTTTTGTTTGGTATTTTCCCTCTCTAACGGGGTTCGAGAGTATTTCCGAGTAGGGGGAGTTTTTCTTAAATAAATCTCTCTACCTGTGCCAACGCGACTGAAACGCGTAGAAAACTTATCTTTACTCCTCGAGGAGGTACGCAGAATAACAGCTCGGTAGCGTTTCAATTGTTGCAGATATAACTAATGTCCGATATTAGGTGCCGTCCGGCGTTAAGTGAACTCCCCCGAAGTTTTTCTAAACTTCGACCAAAATATGTCACCGATATGTTCATCGAAACACAATTCTACGCTAACTTCGCAAGGGTGAGAAGGGTTATCGGACACGAGAGTTAATAGAAAAGCGGAAAAGCAACGACAGGATTTACAAACGGTACCGTCGATTATGGCCAGCAGCAGTGGCCACCTCCGCTCACGCTCGCAATTTCATAAAGCCTGTCCATATAATGGGAGAGGGCTCGACAGAGCCTGCAGGGCTTCGTGCGGCGCAGATTAAATGTACTTCATGTAAAATTCAACGCGACCCGCGCGCCAACGGGCACCAAGACACTTTCGTTTTTAAAAACTTCCACGCGCCACCCCCTTCCCTCTACGTTGAGGAATACGGGAAAATTTGTACCGCTTGGATCTACGATATTCTGTCAAAGTTCCCTTCTCTATCCCCTTCCGCGACTTGGAAAATTCTAACGGAAGAATCTTTAAGTAGAAAATAAAAATGATGCGAAGAATTTTTTATATTTCTTCTTAAAAAGTCAAAAATTGGGTTTCTGATAGCGGAAGGGTTGCACGACGCACTTCCCCTCGAGAATATTGTGACGAAATATCGCGATGGAAAAGTCAGGTGCAATTTACAGTAATTTACCAAGTGTATAAAAATCACAAGTGAAGGGGTTAACAAGGGTATCATTTCAATTTAACCCTCTTTAACCCTTTGCATCATAGTGACGAGTCACACTCGTAGCGCAGATTGTGGTTAAGATGTGTCTCCCTTGTGACAAAGGAAGTTAGTTAGTTTTAACTTTAGCTCTAAATTTTAGCTCTTACTTCAGTTCAAGTCTGACGATTGCCAAATGCAAATTGTACGTATCTAAGTACAGTGGGGGGCAAAAGTATTCATATACCCTGTTAGAATTATGGTTATAAATTAAAAGATATTATTTTAATTATGAATCTTCTTTATTTTGATACGCGAGGAAGGCACATCGCTATGCAATCAATCAAACAAAACATCGGCAAGACGCAGAGGAAAAAAAACGTATCTGCGTCACCCATACTAAACAGATGGTTACTATGTTATTTCTATATATATATATATTTACATTAATCTGTCTCAGTATGTTGATTATTTTTGCCGTTACTATTACACAGACACATACTCATTTCTCCTTATAATCCAACATACCCTATAAAATGGATGAAATTTTTAGCGTGTCTAACTGACATAGATCTGCAAAAGGTATTTTTTAAATTTTCATCACGAGCTCAGACAAAAAAGTTGTAAAAACGACTAATTGCAGTTTTTTTCAAAAAAATTCTCTACACATCTAGTAAACTAAACTTTCTAACTTCTCAAAAAGCTCGTCTTTTTTAGTTTTTAAAAAAGTTATTCCATTTTATAGGGTCTATGAATACATTTGTCCTCCACTGTATATAATATCTTGACTTTTTTTCTTCGATTCAACGCTGCATTAGTTGAAGCTAGCATATGTAGCAATTAAGAAGGCAAAGGATTGAAAATCTTCACATTCTACTGCCTCACCTAGTACAATTTGAAAACCTGTTGGATATAGGCAATAAATTAAAGAATGTGATATATCTTATTTATAAAATTATTCTTTATTTAGACTCGAGGAAAGCACGACTACACTCCACGATACGATCTCAACAACAAACGAAAAACAAAGGAGAATATCAGCGTCCACCCTATGTCATTCTCCTATATATGCTTACAGTAACCTTTCTCAGTACGTTGATCATTCTTGCTGTCCCCACTACGCACACGTACTCATTTCACGAAATAGTCACTCAAAAGATACACACTAGATCAAACTCCGAGAAGAACCCAAAAAAGAAACATCCCCCGGGTGTGATGGACTTCAGATTCGACGTCTGCCTAACGGAAGTTCAATTAAGAGCGGCAAAAGGCGAAAGAAGAAACGCGTGCAAAGAGCAGAGAAGGAGAGTTGGTGAACCTTGTGTAGGTATCGAGCGAGGTTGGCGCGTCGGCTCGGTTCGACGAGTCATTGACATTCGAATTTTCGGCCTGGACCGCAATCTTTTCCCTTTTTCCTCCTTTTTTCTCTTCCCCGTGGTGGCTGCCTCCTCCTCCTCCTCTTCTTCTTCTCTCTTCGCCAAGCTTTCTCTCCCACCCTCTCTCTCTCTCTCTCGCCTATCCACCGCAATTCGTATTCTCCACTCGCGACGCCGTTCGATCAATATTTTAATTTCGCGATGCAACGGTATTTAGCAGGGACGAGAAGGACGGACAGGCAGAACGGTGAAAGGAGCAGGAGCATATCGATGGATCATGGACTTTAGAGAAAATTGTCGGCCAACGACGATTTTTTCCTCTCTACGTGGAAAAAAGTGCTGTCTATCTGTCTCAACGGAGGTCCGGATGACCGATGTCCGGTGAAAAGGGACGCAAATCGGTGGAAAACGTCCCTGGCGCTTTTGTGAGGATTTGCTGTCGCTACTTACGGTCGTCTTGATTACCTCTCATTTCAGGAAATTTGGAATGAAATTTAATTGTGAGAATGTTCCTCTTTGATTTAGCAATTTCGTGCTTTTTTTTTTTTTTAATTCGAAATGAAATTGAATTGCGAAGATGTTTCTTGTTTGATTTAGTAATTTTGTATTTTTTGGAAGAAATGTGAAGTTCTGACAGCTTGTCGATGATAGCGACGATTCAGTGAACTGACTGGAGAACAGGCCGTCTTGTTTATAATTACATGCCTGTATACGTTCTACGCGAATTGAGAGATGTTTGCCTATACACTAATGTTCCACGAGGTGATTCTTGGAAATACAATTTTCGAGGACATTGAACTGGCTCGCGTGTTAGCCTTATAAAATTAAAAACAATTGGACTTCTAAGAATTTCAACCTCGGGCAAACATTCGACTTGTTTTCTTCATGGAACAGTGTCAAAGAGATTGTGAAACATTTACGTAGAAATTAGAACAGCTCTATTCGTATATTCGAAAAATCGTTAATATTCAAATTCTAAATTTTTCAAAATTATTCCGCACCTGTAATTCGAAGGAAACGAAACAATTTGAAAAATCACCAATAATAAAAATTTCCACAATTCTATGTCGGAAACGAACTAAACAAAGAGGATTTACTTAAAAAAACAGATTATTCCGTGCGGAGAATATGTGTGTCCGTCATAATATGTGTCACTCTAAGCAAAGTAAGTTTTATTCGAAACTTTTTTTCGAATAACGAATAGTTCGGGAGGTAATCGAGTGAAACGATTATAATGGGTCGCCCTGTATAAGAATTCGACTTCCCAAGGGGAATTTTGAAAGATTAACAGAGTAAGGGACGTAGCAAGAGTCACATGGGCCTCGTTAATGGCCCCCGGTTCCGCGCAAATTGTTCTATTAATAAATACATGCTCCCGCAGGACGATTGAGAGCTACTGGCTTTGAGGCTGTGAGCGATAGCGCGCGTCACGAGGACGCTACTGCGCCAGAAATAGGCCGAAACCTCATTATTTTTATTCTTAACCATGAAATTAGCGAACAACCGCACACAAACACATACACACACAAGTACAACACGATTTCGTGCAACGTCTCGTGTATCGATTCGTTATCCCTTCTTCTCGCGTGCACCTCTACACATGCTATTTCGACGACTGCTGGATAGCTTAAACGGTCGAATTTTCGTTAGCGTCGAAAAGTAGCGTGTTTAAACATGTTCTTCACTTGACACCCTCTAAATTGCATGGTTTACGATTTTAGAGTCGTATTCCGTGATGTAGTTTGATTATTCTAAGCTGACGTTTCGATTATTATTGTTAACCTTTTGTCTTATGATCGTTTTTAGGGGTTAAAAAGATAAATATACTTGTATCAATAAAATAGTAACACATAAACGTCATAATGTTACAATCTAATCCCCACTTCCAATCATAAGACTTATTTTTAACTAACTTCTTGTTCAAATCAACACGTATAAAACCCTGCGTATAAAATCCTATACGACAAACATGTTGTCAGCCATATTGGCTAAAATGACGTCAGAAAGTTCACGTGCAGCTTGCATACCTGAAATTCCATTCTACCTAACCTGTCAATAACCTATTAATCTCGTTTCAAACACTTCCACCGAGTTCAATTCACGCTCATCGCTATATCAATCGATTTAACTTAATCGTTATTAGCAAAATCATGTAGAAAAGTGTAAATAACTCACCTGGAGCTCCTCCTTGCACTGCCTTTCCTCTTCGAGACTCATCCGTTTCTCGTGCTTCTTGTAGTAACGCCTCTTGGCGGCTTGTAGGTTGAACCACGTGTACGAGAAAGACTTCACGAATGGTAGGAGGGCCTCAATGAATGGATGGAACTCATCCTGCAGGCACAAGCGATCACAAACTGATTAGAGACACGTTACACGGCACACACACTTTTCGCCATTCGAGAACGCGGGATAACATCAACTAACTCCCCCCACTCTACCTCACTAAACTCCCTCTGGAACACACGCGACCACCGATGTTTACTCTACCAGAGTTCCGCGCGAAAAGAGCCGTGTATCGCGTCGTCGAAACGAACCCACACGATCGAAAATCGAATTCGTACAAATACGCATTGAGGAAAAATGCTGGTTGTTCATTTCATATGTATCCAGACGCGTAACTTTCGAATGCTAAGCTGTTCTTTAAGACTCGTTACAAGCTCGGGAGAACGGTGAATTTGAATGTGTACTTGGCGGCAATTTTGAAAAAAGGTGAAGATTAAAGTGTCGAAAAATTGAATTTCATCGAAATTCTTCTAAAAAGTATTGTAACTTGGATTGTATTAATTTCTTTCTGCTTTTAAAAATTGATGGGGAATAAGTATTATTATATTGTAAAGAATTGATTAAATATAATTTAACATACAAAATAATACCCTCTCGTTCTCGAATGTGTACAATTTATTTTCAATTTGTTACTTATATATATGATCGTGCATGGATTGTGCAAGTTTCTAGTTTAGCTTTCATGCAAATTTCAATTCGATTCACCATGCAACCTTTCGTAAAAGACACGCACATTTCTCTATAATTGAATTCTCAATTTGAAATTACTTTAACCAAAATCTGCCATGAAATTTTCAGTTAAAATACTCGAGGAATTACAGGAATCGAATTTTTCTTCCAACAGAGGACAGAGGAGACAAAAAAGTCGCGGACATCCGGGGGAAATCGGTCTCTTATCGTAACGTGGAACAATTCCGGAATGGAGACACGGTCGAATCTCCGTTTCCGGTTCACAGAACGGCGAGAAAAAGGGGCGAAGATCGATTATTGGTACGAGAGATCGACGACATTTGCACGATCCTTTGTGAGGGAAATCCAGCGATTCACGCTCCAAGGGGATGTAAACATCATTCTACAGGGATGAATTTTTCTGTGATTTCTCTGTCGAGATGAAAAGCTTGCCTGTTAGATGGAATATTTGTCGATGGAACAATATGACGTACGTGCAGTCTCATCCAATGGTATCTAAATGCAAAGAGTATAGATGGTTGGATGGAGGATATGTTAATGATCCATGATTGAAGTGTTCTCAGAAGAAAAATGCGAGGAAAAGTATGAGGATGAAATTTCAGAATGAAGAACGAGGGTCTGAAGTTTCAAAAATCACGAGTAAAAATACCAATACATCATTGTCCAGCATGAAATTGTTTTGTTAAACTGACGATGGAAAAACGACACCCTATAGATAAATACATATAGACTTGATAAGTTCAATTCTTTATGTAGGAACACCTATACAAAGCATGTTATTGAATCATGTTCATCATCAATGGTTATGACCTAGTTCAACCTAAAGAAGAAGAAGATACAACCGTGAATTGAGAAACATACAGAACAAACACTTGTATCATTCATACATTTCAACAGCTCCAATCATCAATGAACTGTGATACAATAATGCACACTTCTCAACAACCTTAATCATAACCATCACCCAAAACCTTCTTACAACCTCAAATCAGGAGACTCGACTGTTAATCTGTATATGTATACAAAATAGAATGTCTTCCCCATTAATTCTTAAATCCTTTGATCCATCTGGACCAAATTATGCATGGTTACTTTGCAAGATGCTGCAAAAAATATAAAAAAACCACAAAACCTAGAAACCCAACTATCCCCCCGATTTAATTCCCTCGATCGTTTCACATTTTCACAGGTGCTGATATTCTAGATATAAGAAGCCCGGGTAACGCTTAAAGCTATAGTAGAGACCAAATATATTGGCCAGTCATGGTCATTAATCCTCCACCCTTTTTTCACACCGACCGAGGAGAAATGACCTTGACAGGTGAATATATTTGGCTCGTACTATAATTGAAGATAAAGTAACCTACAGAAAGGTGTTGATTGAGCAACAAAGCACGAGAACCAAATCTACCAAAATGGACGAAACCTGAGGGACAAGATAAGGAGCGAAAGGTGGTTGAAGTAGGTTAGGGTTGAAACACGAGGCTGGCCTGTATGAACAAGCGTCAAACGACACGAACCATCGAGTATTCGCAAGCACTGCGGCTGCTGTGGCACACTACCGTCTGTCTGTCCCTCCTGCCGTCCGGCTGTCAGAAGCACCGATTTTCGCAGTAACAACCGTCAGGTTCGCAATACTCCTCCGCCACCCTGTCGCAGATTGATCGTGGCCTCATCTGCACCACCTCTCCTCCACCTCTCTTCTCCTCCCTTCTGTTTCCACTGATACCAAAAATTGATCAAGACCTCGAAAGGTCAATTTTAAATCCTCTTAACAACTCTACTTATCTCCACTTTCTCTTTGTCTTTTTCCTTTTATCTCTCGTTCTCCCTCTCTTTCTGGAAGAGAATTATTATTCTTACGTTTTCTTTCCGGTTGTTATTCTTATATCGTATCCTATATATGTGAGGAAGGTTAAGTTTCTTCCTGGTTAACTCTCGTTAGCTTGCTCGAGCGACCGGAGAGAGGTAGTAAAGGGTTTCTCCTTGGTTGTCTGGTGTCTCGAGGATTTACTGGCTTCTTCGGTGAGACGTCTGGCGGAAGAAACTTCGATATTCCACACGCTGATGGGTTTCTGCTGCGGGAAAACGGACCACACGGTTTCGTCGATGATCATCACGACGATGCTTTTTCTGACTGATCTTTTCAGCGATCAGTGACGTTCGAACGAGGAAATTCGATCGTGGATTCTAGCCCCGCGAAACTTACCCACGATTTCATTTTGCGTAATTGATTTGCAATCTCGATGTTAGTGAACCAACGTAATGGTGAATTAAAGTATTCATGTAGAAGAGATTCTCATGAGCTATAAAATTCGACGATTAATTGAATACAATATTAACATGTTCTGTCACAGTTTTTGGAGATGGAATTCTCACTAGACGCAAAAATCTACAAAGATTACAGTATCAAATATTCTCATGTGACTTTCTCATTTCGTTTCAACGCTCTAGCGAAACTCTTGTTAACACAATAAATAGCTGATTTTAACATACATACAGTTACTCCGAAAAATATCGGATGTCGAGGGAAATTGTTAAAGAAAAGTCAAGTGCTCGCCAGAAGAGCAGAGAGAGGAAGATTTTCGCGTAGAGAGCTCGCTTTGTCACCGCGGTTCTTGTGCTCGCGCGCTCCCGCGTCTATCTATACGACACACCGCGTTATTTTCGGACGCGAACGAAAATCAAAGGCATTAAGGAGGCGCATGGTGACGCTGTGAGCGTCGTCATCGCGGAAAAGATCAGGGGAGGACAAGGACGCGGGCGAAGGGGACGTCGTCATGCGATTCGCCCGGGTTTCTTCGAGGGTTGATGAACCGAACGACCAAATTTCGCCAAAATAAACGCGAAAATTCAACGATTTGATTGTGGAACATTTTCCTGGAAGTCCAGAACCTTTCTAGTAATTTAACTCTTTTCATTTTCATTTAGCAGTTAATATTTAAAATAAAAAATTTCACTGAGTTTACTTATTTATAATTTTTGTATGCAGGTTAATTTAAAATTTGAAGAATTAAAAGTGTGAGTGAGTGTCAGTGCTCATTCAAACACGTAATGGTTAAAGATGGTTGATGAGGATCGGTAGAATGTATGTGAAAGATTAATCACTCTGTGGTTGAATAGTACTGTGAACTCTGGAATGTTCTTTAGTTTGTTTTAGAATTAACGAGTACATTAATGTAGCAATTAAGAAATGGTAAATGAAGAATTTCTGTTGATCAAGTATTTGATGGTAAGTTAGATAGAAACATATGGAAAATTAATGATTTTACAGTGGAATATTTCTGAGAAATAAAACGTTCTATGAAATTCATTACATAGCTAGTTTCAAAATTAATGGACGCGTTACTGTGGTAATTAAGGGGTGATTGGTGGAGATCCTCGATTCACAATTTGTATTAAAAAGTATAGAAGAATCTGCTACTGAATGTCCCTGAGAAATCTGTAATATTCTTTCAGACATCTTACATGTACTATTTTAAACATAACAGTAGCATTAATATCCTCAATAATTTCACTTGAATTTCATTTAAAAGGAAATGTAAAAAATATTTGAAAACAGTCCAGGGTGTTCCTTGACATACACTATATAGTTTCTTTCACAATTTCTAAAAGAATTATTATGCTATTTTAGATAATGCTTAGGCTTTAGAAATGCTCTGTCCAAGAAAGAAGAACTGAGAATAAAAAAAAGAGTGTGTGTTAAAAGAGCATCAATTAACATTCAAATTTCTAGATAACGAAAAGTATAAAAAAACAGATCTCTGAAGAATGAATAGGATCCATGGCGAGTGCACGTGTCGCGGGAACACTTCTATTTGCAAGGCGAGTTTTGGTGCGTAGTTGTCGGTAATAAATCGACGCGGATTCTGCGCGGCTGCGCTTGTTTATCGCGACGCCTCGACGTAGAATACCTTCTTTCAACCATCTTTGTCCACGTCAACCGACGAAAATCAAAAAGATCGCAAACTTAAAAACCAAAGGAGAAATCAAAATATTCCTCTCTAATTGATATTCCAAATCACAATTTCGAGATTGCCTAACCAATTACATCGTTATATAATTACACCATCTACCAAACCACGATTGAATATCCCCGTTAATCCTTGGAAAATCCAAAAAATCCCCGGATCAACCAATTCTACTTACTTGCCAAAAAAAGATCTCCCGTCTTTCCAACCCCACCTTCTAACAATTTTCAAATCGACGAAGATTATCCCTATCAGAAAATAACACGGGTTCCTCCGAAGACGCAATAACTGTACGATAAGACACGGTTTTCCAGCGATGAAAAGACGATGATCAGCTGACGCTCGAACTCTAAAAGGTCCACGTCCGATCACCGACGCGCCTCTATCACTGCGACGATCTCTCCAAACGCACAGTCGATCGCTCGAACGGCGCACTGATCCACTCTGGTGGCCTGCCAAAACCTCTCTTCTTCACTCGACGATCCACTTGTACCCCTTCGTACCACTAAAATCCAACCCCAGATCTTCCAAAATATTTTCCAAAAAAAAGAAAGAACGTCTCCGACAAGAATCGTTATCAACGAATCAATTACTATATCGATGATGTAAAGGACTGATTAAACGTTGATTAATTATAAGAATTCCACGACGACGTGATGAAAACGAGGTAAAAGAAACGAGGATAAATCGTGTACGCGAGAGATACGTTGAATAGAAACAATCAAGGAGGACCGTCGACGCCGGACGGGTACGACGTCGGTCGTCGCGACGACACTGAGACGCCGGTCGTCGAGACGCGCGTATCTAGACGCGCCGCGCGGCGGCCAGGTACGGCACCCCAAACAGTTATTAATAGCCTCTGTCCTAGCTTACTAGATTTGCCCTCGAACCGACGCAACTTCTCCTCCTACCGTTACTTCTCCTCCTTCTGCACCCCTCCACCCTCCACTCTTCATCAACGACGTGTTTCCCCTCCAACGCTGCTCCCTTTGGGATATTCCCCTTGAACGGTGGGAGGAGAAGACGCCACTACTCGACGCCTGGCGTCGTACGGGCTCTATCGTGCTACTGTGCAATTTTCGATTTTTCTTCTTTTTTTTTTAGAAGGGATTTCGGCCTTTTTTCTGCTGCGGTTTTGAGGAGACGTGTTGGAAAGTGGTATTGATTGGTTTTCTTTTTTTTTTTTCATGGAAATTTTGGGTGTGGCTAAATATGAATTTTTTTCCTTTCGTTTTCTTTTGTAAAAGGATGAACGGTGATATTGATTGATTTTTCATGGAGTTTGGAAGAGTTTGGAGTGTTGTAGCTAAGGTTTGATTGATTTTTTTTTAAAGAATTTTTTAATTGCATCGTTGCTGCCCTTTTTGTCTTCAGGAAAAATAGAGGATAGTATCGATCGGTTCTCGATGGAATTTTTCAGCCTGGTGAATGTAGAATTCACCCCTTTGCGGTTAAGATTTGAATGTTTCATTTTGTTCCAGGATTTATTTTTGTAGCTTCCTTTTTTCGAAAGTACAGGGCAATATCCGTTGGTTTCCAATCAAATTTCTAGAGGTAGAACAATGTAAAATTCACTTCCATTCTAACATACGTTAATTGCAAAGGAAGAATAAGAAAAATAAAATTACAAGGAATAATCTCTTCTAATCTGCTCCCCCCCCCCAAAAAGAACTTTCAAACGCTGAATATCGAAGGTCCATTTTAGCAAAACAAAAAGCGTTAAATTTAAAGTTGTCGTTGCTCGACGGAATTCCGACTGCGACAGGGTAGCTAACAAGGGTTGTCCCGCGGGACGATTGGCAAATTGCGCGGAACTCGACGAAGAAGCCCGGACAAAATTGATTCTTGCCACGTTCCAATTCCCCGCGGAGCTTCCTGTCCTAGCCGCCGCCGCCGCTTTCCGCGTCAATAAACCCGCGAAAAAACAATGGAACTGATTTTTGGAAGCGCTAAAAATAGAGCCGCGTCGCGGGACTGTACAGTGGTGGATCGCTCCACTCGAGCTTTCGCGGAAATTCGTCTCTAAATCTTTCTTTCGATGCACTGTCCGTCCAATCCAGCCAATAATAGTAAAAAGAAGAAAAAAAAAAGAAAAAAGAAGAAAAATGAATTCCTGGATAATTCAAAGTTTTCTAGAATTTGTTTTTATACAAAAAGAAAACGAAACTGTAAATTTCGTTTCTTTCAGCGATACCAAGTGTGAAAAGAAGATAATGATTACTCTCGTTCATAAAATATAATATATACATATAAAAAGGGGGAATGTATGTTATCAGGGTGTTTCTAAGGATCACGAGAATTGCAGGAACACCCTACGGAACGACTTCAAACTTTCTTCGGAAACGTTTCAATCTGAAGTCTAACTTCCTACTCTCAAAGCCTACAAAACCACCCTCTTTACATCAATAATCTCCAACTTCAACCTAAGAACGAACGAAAGAAACTCACCCTCCTTACCACCGCCTATAACCTCAAAAGCCCTGGAGATCCTTCATAAACCCCAGCAAACCCCCCTGAAACCATTCGCACCCCATAACATAAACCAAATTCCTCGACAACCCCTGTAGCACCTGATTAAACCCCTTAACAGTTTAGTGTATCTGGAACAGTGTATCGTTGCGTGCTCCAGAAACTTTATTTATTGAAAGAAGAACAACAGGAAAATTATCATATGCATATACACTGCGTATAATCTGCTATTAAAGGGTTAAGAAGTGCTTGATTTAACTCACTGAAAATCCTTAAAACCCGGTGAAGAGTACTTTCATTGCGTTCAATTATTTTCTAATTAAACGATTGGGTAACAATATAATTTTGAAATTTACCATATTTCTTCACACAAAATATCTCTAAAGAGTACTTTTATTATATCGAGTTGCTTCCTGCCAGAAAATTGGATAACACTATAATCTTGAAATTTGTGTACATTTGTATATCACAAATTTAGGGCAAAACCCTTTAACAACCCTTTAACCATATTTCCTCATTTAAAATATCTGAAGCTCTCTAAAGATTACCTACGCTATATCGAATTATTTTCTACCCAAAAAGAATTGGATAAGAACGGAATCTTAAAATTACTACGAATCCCAAATTGAACGAAGGACAATTCAATTAAGAACCAATTTTCCCCAAGAATTACCGCCAATCCCCTGAATCCCTTTAACAGGCCATCAAAGAGTTAAACGATACATAGAAACACACTCGAAAAAAGTCGGCGAAACCAGCTCAGAAAACAGTAGAACACAGTAGGAGGATTTACAGAGTAGAGGGGGTGAAGGTCCGCAGTAAGAAAGGAAGCGATGTTGTCGCCGGTCCGCGTGGCTTGTAACCGTGCAGAGGGCGAGAAGAATCGACTCAAGAGGAAAAAGACGAGCAGCAGAAAGAAGGTGGTGAACAGAGCACGCGGCCGTCGTTGCGATCGATAGCCAAACTCCTCGTAAGATAGACACTGACACGAACTCTCTCTCTCTCTATTCCCCTCCCCATCCCTCTTGCTCGTCTTCTTTTTTCCACCGTAGATGATAGGAGAAGAGACGCGTTATGCATGGACTCTCTGGCTCGTATATTCGCGATTCCTGATACCAGCAGAGAGGACTGCCTCTTGCAACCGAGCGTTCGATATTTAAGCGAGATAAGACGGATTGCCGGAGACCTATGCTACTTGTAAACCGGAAAGAGGACAACCCTTTGACTAGGGAAAGGGGTTGTTGTCAGAAGGTTCTTAGCTTTATCTTTTCTTTTTCTCCTCTTTTTTTTTTTTTGCCTGGTTTAAAGGTTGAATTTACCAAGTGAAAGGGTGACGAGTCCCCTTAAATTGCTTGTTTAACCCTTTAACAGTGATCGTGTGACATCGTGTGTCAACTGGGTCTGTTACGAAAATTCGAATATTCGGTGGATTCGAATGTAGAATAGTTAAACTGTCCGCATAATTCGAACATTCGAAGCATTCGAAAAAAAACACTTCGTATACTCCAATTATTCGAATAGAGAATTCCTATTCAAAATTATTCAAATTATTCGAATAGTTCGACTATTCGAAGTTTTACAGCCCTAGTCTTAACACTAGAACAACCAAACCGGAAGGTTTCTTACTTTAAATTACAGAAATTATTAAGATACTTTTGTCCAAGTGAAACATTGTGAAATTGTGGTGAACAATTTGTGCCACTGTGGACTACATTTTCAATGATGAACCGTAACGTTTAAGAAGTTGAATGGTCAAATATATGGATCAAAAGAGTGAACTAGTGCTCATTCAATCAGCGACAAAGGGTTATAGATCAAAGATTTCGAAAACAAATAATATCAGGGGCGGCTAATTCAAAGAACGATTACCACCTTTCGACTGGATCACAGTGCTTGAGGGTAAAAGGAGGGCTGGCTCATGTGAGTAGCAATCTTCACGTAATGCACGCTTCGTACGTATCGCAGCCGCTTTACCACCCAGAGTAAATATCGCGTTCGCCGCACTAATGACTGTTCTAAGTTTGCTGGAGACGAGCACGCGGACAACGAACCTTCTCTGGCTATATCCACGCGACATTTCACCGGCTAAGTGGGCTACAATTGTCGCGTCGGAGTGTTCGCAAGAAACTTCTGTCCAATTCGAAAACTTGCCCCATCGAGCGTTTAACAATTAGCGTGCTTTGAAAAATAGCTGGTTGAAGGAGACTTATGAATTCTGTAATTCGATTCGAATTTCTGAAACGTGACAATTAGGTCAGCCTGAAAGAATCGCCCAGATAAAACACGACAGATTTCGAAAGCGGAATTTTCATTAAACGATGATGAATATTCTTCGACTCGACGCTCGAGCAAAATATGTGCAAAAGAAGATTAAAGTGAGAAAATTCCACACTATAGATATTTTTCTGTAATTACTTATTTTAATGTAAACTTTCAACTTTGTTTCAATATTAAGAGTCGAATGATTCGTCGTCAGACTTTGGGAAATTTATTTACGGAATGTAGTAGGATATGACAGTTCGGAACCACTTCTTCGCAGGAAGAAGTAAGCAAATTAGAGAAACATTTGATCAATTTTTATTACTTTAATCTACTAATACCTGCAATATTCATTCAAAATTGATAAAAAATTCACAGTAGATAGTAGATTGGTGTATAACATGTTTGATGGTAAAACTTAATTATCCACAAGGAAATCGAATGATTTAAAATTGACTCGAGGATTCCCTCTAATTTCTTCTAATTTCTGATGCAAATTCAGATGATTTCTGATTCCTTCAAATTTCTTCGAATTTCTCATACTTTTGTGATTCAAATACATAAGTAACGAAAGAAGGAAAGTTATAAAAAGTCAAAGTTACCAATTCCTCACACAAGAAAATCTCACTGAAAATTCACCCTC